AATGATAATGCAGCACAAGGAACAGAAGAAGCGATAGACAGAGAAGGAAAACTGAAATATGCCAGGTAAGCAAGACGCACACTGCTTCACATTTAGGACATCCACATTTTAAAATAAGCGGCAGAAGTTCTTAAACTAAACGAGCAAAACTTACTATCGCTTTCGTGGTTTCGTTCCACTAACTGATCAATCGTCGATTGTAACTATAACGATTACCTTACATAAATGGCTCCTGATAAGAACAAATAGAACGAACTTCATCAACTCGTCGACGCAAACTGTCACATTCGTCCTGTTTCCACTCTAGATCACCTTCCAGTTGGAGTAAGCGGGCCTTCGCATCTCGATTCTCTCCTCCTGCTTTATTGGTTTCTTCTTCAAGCGAACGCAGTTGTTCATGAAGTTCTTCATTTGCACGTCGATGCTCAGTTATTGCCTGACGGTGTTCCTCGAGCTATAAATACAAAAAAAAACATATTTTAAAGAAACTACAACTCATTAGATTATGGGTACTATAAATAGTAAAGAATTATCAATATGCAGAAACCTCGTTCAGTTTTTCGCGCAGAGATTTTTGGACCAGCAAAACTTTGTCGTGGAGACTCAATCCTTCCGGTGCTTCCAAGCCGAGTTCCTAAGATATGCGTTATACTAGGTCCTCAGCTCTTATAGTGAATTTTTTGGATCAAACTCACGGAAATCATTGTATCAACTACAGCCCGTACATTTTCGGAGTTATCATTTTCAGAAGCTGTGGTCTACAAAAGTGGAAATCATCCCGTCCATTAAAAAGCTAAAAGAGAAAGAACCTCAACCTGTTGGCTTTGTTCACGAGCTCTTTCCTTCTCTAACTCAGCCATTTTTGCGTAAATTACGTTGTATGCAGCTTGAAGCTGACTGTAGTACTCGCTGAGTTGGGCGTATGCTTTCTCCACTTGCTCTCTGGAAAAAATAGCAATAATTCCCACAGACTCGTAATTCTGAGGGAAGTCATGAACGTACCGTCGAGTCTCCATCTCCAAACACTCCGCAAGTCGTCGATTGCTCTCATTTTCAGCCTCGGCAGCTTGACGGGAGGCCTTCTCGGTAAGTTCTGTCTGAAAAATGCGCTCTAATCATATAAAAGGTAGTAGTGAACTTGTACTGATATTTTCCAATTCGACTAGTCCTCTACAAAATTGTGAAAACATAACAGTTCTTGTGATAAATTTGTTTACCATACTCCTTGTGAAAACATACCTGTTCGGACAATTCGCAATCCAAGGCATCAGCTCGCTTCTTTTCTGCCGCTAAAGATGAATCTAGTTCCACAACACGGTCTTGTAGGTGTTCTCGATCCAGGATGGACTAGAAATCTCTTCCTAGCTATCAGAACTAATAAAGCAAAGCAACTCAACACACCGCCTTTAGTTGTCCATTCAAAGACCAGATCTCTCCTTTAAGGGCTTCAACAGCATTTTCAAGTTCAGTCTTTAATTGCCACATCTTTTCCACATCCTAAAGATAAGAGCAAATAACTAAGAACTCAGTGATAGATGAGACTTTCAAAGAAGAAAAAAGCTTTTGGAATGTCTTAGTTTCGGCAAAAAGCCCTTTATTTTGCTTGTCTCTAAAGCAAACTCACTTCCGTAAGATCTTTCTGCATCTGATTTGACTCATTAACGCATTGACGAAGAATTAAGTTTTCAGCGAAAAGATCATTCCCATTAGGTGCTGGAGAAGTTCTAGGAGTTCCTGAAACAACTTTTTCGGTTACGAAACTGCGAGAGAATGATTTGATACACGTACCTTGCAAAATGACCTCATTTCTGCTGGGTGGTTCTGGGACTGTTAGTTCCACACTAGACTCCACAGGCTGCCTTGATTCTAGCGTAGCTGTTGCTTCAGCCTGATTTGTGTCAAAGCGGACTGACTCGGTTTCCCCGACTAATACGCTAGCAACGACTTCTGATGTTGTGCTGGCTGCTTTCAACAGAGCAGTTTGCTGAAAAAAGAAGGTTCAAAACTCCAGACAGATAAGGTCTCTTATCATGCAAAGAAAAATGATGATAGCTTGAAATGAAACCACCTACTTAGTGCATCTACGAGCTATTAAAGTATTGTGTATTTGAAAAGGGGTTTCAAAGAGTACTGAATACAATATGAATTAAAAACGGAGGAGGGGGTAGGAGGTGCGAGTTCGCAAAATGAAAGCCATGTGAGAGCAGATGAAGGTAAAAAGAAGGTCCCTAAATTATTGTGCAAGCTCTAAATCTACAATTAAATGACTCAGCTATGGGAAGCTTGGAATGCAATCAAATGGAGGATGGAATAAAATTGGTCATTAAAACCTAACACTAGTAATGAAAAGTGAATTAAAGCAGACAACATATTCTCACCAAGTCCCACCACTTCGTAGATGAAACTGTTGAATTCTAAACATTTACGGGATTAAAAAAACGCCTACTTCTTCGATATGAATTGGTTTCACTTTGAAAACAAAAGAAAGGATTGAATGCATGTATGATCTCAATGCTGGCTATATACTAAGCATATCGAGCATAAATCTTGCCATAAACTTTC